AGATGGGTACTTGTCTACTTGTAGGTAATTCAAAGAAGCAAGGCATTTATGCATGAATTTTCCATGCCTTTTGCTGGCCCGAAAGTCGTGGTGAGTTCCGAAGACCATTGGTGTAGAGGGCCACAGTTTTCCCATACTGTGGTTAAGAGTCTTTTGGCTTGCTCATTCTCCAAATAATATAGAGTTTCTTGAAACCAAAACACGAATCTTCTTCAAATTGATGCGAAGTGATTTACTGGTGTTTCTCCATAATGGGAGATTGAAAATCGTGGCTTTCAAAAACCATGTTCATATTAATGTTTTGTGGGCAATGGGTCAAAAACTGCGGACATTAATTTCTTTATTCCAATGAGAGAACAAGACACCTTAATGAGTATAAACTTAATCCTGGCTCCCAGGGCTGGGCATGTTAAAACAATAATTAGATACAACATACAAACGTATATTTTCAAAATTCACCAATTTATCAAATGACGACATAATACTAGGCCCTGGGTTTAGATTGGTCTTTCTATATATGCGGGGAAGTTTCAATACTAACTCGTAGAACTAAGGAACCTGCCTTGATGTTGACCAGGAACTAACAGCAGCTGCAGGACCAAAAATAGGACTTGTAGGACGATCAAGAGCAGTAGCTGCAGATCCAAAAAGGGACACAGTTCAAGATTGACCAGGAGTAGGATTCTGGGCAGTGGCATCACCAAAGAGAGATTTGGTTTGGCCAACAAGGGACACAGTTCGAAAGTTATTTAGGAGCCAAATGTTTAACAGTAGCATCGCCAAGAGATACAGTTTGAGGTTTATCAGGAGCAGCAGCACTTTAAGAATTAACAGCAGCTGCCAAACAAGTAGTAGCATTTTGAGAACTGATAGGAGAACCATAAGTAGGACAAGTTCTTTCAGGAGTTGCAGAAAAGAAACTTCTTGGAAGGACGACTATAGGTTTATTGGACACTGTTCATAAATTAGCAATGGCCATAAATCCCTTTGGGCATCAAACTAACCACTCTGCAAGAGGGAGCTGCCATTAATCCTGGTTTAAGCAGACTCAAACATTTTGTACTGAGATTAATAGCTGTGAAGAGTTTCTTTTTTTTTTGTAATATGTTTAACGATTTGAGGACCTTGGGTGTTTAAATAGTATAAATACAAAGACCATGATTTTGTGCAGCCATGATTTTAGAATCAGCTAAAGAAATGAAAGTGCTGCGGATTTTGCACCTATGACTTTAGTGGTATGGTAGAGAAATTTGAAGAAAAAACAGTTGCACCCAATGTAAGAATCAGATCTGTAAGCCAAAATATACCTAGCAGAGATATTGAGGACGAAAGACATGAAATGGTCATCCTCATCGATTCTCAATGCCCCTCGCTGATTGTCACCGCGAGTGAGCGTCTTCTCTTCCTGTTGACACAACCATAAGGCACCGTAGCAACTGTTAGCATCCTTCAGGAGCACTTCATATGTTCCTTACTCAACTTACCTTTCTCGAGGAACCATATTTCGTCCGCGTCGACTATAGTGGAAAGGCGATGCCTGCCTGTAATGATAGTGCTGGGTATACAGAGGACTTGTAACGACTTACGTAATAACTTACTGATCGTTCATCTAAAATATGGCTTGCTTAACTGCTCATCACTTTGATCCCAACCTAGAATGGCAAAGAAATTCAGGTGAACTTGCATCCAATTATGGACTCTCTGGAAATAAACCAGACACGAATTTTAAATCCCCTTATTGTGGGAGTTTCTCCTAGGGACAACAGCTCTTGAAATTCAGAAAGATAAAAATCGTGGCCTTCAAAGGCTGTGGCGCTGAAAAGTGTGGTAATTAATATACTGTGGGCAATGGGTCAAAACTGTAGACATTAATTCAAATCATCATTAAACGCCACAGAAGAAGATTGCGTGGGTCTCTACAGTTCTGTACCCACTCATACTGCCTTTATTGCTTCTCCAATAAGAGCAATAGAATTAATTGGCTGTGCGCAGTATAATTTTTCTGGGAAACATGGGGGCTTTGCTGCTGTGTTCGAAACAATGTTGCTAGTCCTGGCTAACACCACATAGATTGATTTGTAATTTTAAAGTTCCCTAAGATCTCAGGGAAATGATTCCATATTTCTCACATGAGTTCTTTATAGAAGGTAAACTCTGTCTCTAGAAGTACCATTGCTGGCAACACACAGGGCACTGAACCTCCCTTATCTGACGAAGGAACTCCACCAGACATGAATCATGAATCGGATGCTTGCAACTTAGATAGAATTTCTGTTTAGTGTTGCAGTCTTGCAGGCAGGCCAAACACATATCTGTTTTTCTCGCGCCATTGCGGTCATCCAAAGTAGGAAGAAGGCATATGCCTTCAGACCCTTAGATATTTGGATTTAACTCCTGAAGTATAATCTTAACCATATCAATCCTGCACTCAATAGGAACATTATCACAGTTATAAAGAAGAATCGCGCTGAGGACATTTCTCAAGAGCCCTTCCTCATCGCTCCCCCCTAGGCCATATTCTCTCAATAAAGAGAGCAATTTAGTTAGGAAGGTTGCTTCACTAGCATAGCAGAGGCTCTTGATAAGGATATCACAGGTAGTCTCAGAGCTTGAAAAGCGAGAAAGGCAATACTTAAAGAGTATCTTGAAGTGCATACTCCCACAGCAAATTGCAGCTTCTGTTACGCATGTCAAGTATTCAAGTTGGCTTCTGTCCCATGGAACGTCAGAGAGCTTTTGGAGAATGAATTTAATATGTTGAAGATCTCCAAAGTTGGCAAAATATGGTAAGGAGCGTATAAGGTGAGGAACATCAGCAAGATGTAGAAAGGCTGACGTTGCCTTATCCCTCATATCAGATAGGCCATGATGAGCGAACTTGGCCATAAGCCATCGCAGGGTACCACAAGACGCCATAGGGAGTAGATCCTTGCAAATGACATCAATAGTGGGAATATCCTCAGCACTGATCAACCTGGAGACCTCTTTAAGAGGTTCTGTTACTGGGTCTGTAAGATCCATGGGTATGCTTGAGATTACATGGCCTTCGCAGCAAGACTTTGTGGGTAGCCCGGTCTTAGGAATTATGCGGAACAGAGTCAAGGAGCTATCCAGGATATCACGAAGGAAGTTGGCCAGTTCTTCCTCAAGTTCTTCTGTATCTGAATAAAAGATAAGAATCTATCCTAATGGTCTATTTTGTGCAAGAACGTACCTGCCACTACAATTGGAGCACCCTCCTTCACATTTATTTGATAACATATGCGCCCGTGCTACTTGTGTCGCGTCAATCTCCTTTTGCCAAAGCTAAATTGGATAGTATACTGTCACGTTTGAAGAAATTTAACATTGCCCACAATAACCCTGATAGCTGCATCAGAGTCAGGCGTAACTGGAATCTTGAGGGAGTTAATCTGCTTTTTGTTTTGAAATATTTTCATTTGACAGGTCCAGTTGGTAGAGTCCTCTGCCTGGTATCGGACCATTAACAGTAGAGGAAGCTGTTGCCCGGGTCGAATAGTGAAGTGCAGGATTCTGAGTACAGTAGAAGACCAAGAGCATGCTGGTAATTTTGTTTTAGATGATCCCAGCTACAGCGGAGTAGTCTTTGAGGATGATTGAACATAGTTCTGTGATTTTCTAAGCCAGAATTTAAAGCCCTCTGCGAATTGTCTTTGAAATGCAACTGGCAGAAGTGAGACCAGATCTCAGCAAACTTCGCTATAGATGATTCATCTTACCTTTATCCATAATTAGTGGGCAGAGCATGTATTTATGGTGAGAAAAGATTACTTCGCCATGATTGAAAAACTCCATCTAGATGAATAGCAAGTCAGGTGGCAGCCCAAATATAATACTGTTGATCTCGTCAGTGTCATCGTCGGAGTTACATTTGGATGAAGTAATGGGCCAGAGTTGCTCCTCTGCAAAATAATTCTTCAATCTCACCATTACTGGTTATTCAAAAAAAAATTAGGAATGATGATCTTCTGCTTCGCTCCACTAGCCACCAAGGTGCAAGAAATCTGAGCTTATGTTGACGTAAATTAAACAGGGAACCCTCCATCATATCACGAAAAAATTGACTTAATGCGTTCTCATGTTCATATGCTGTTAGACAATTAGCCTTCATGCCAAACAGTACACTTTCTCCGTATCTGTACCTGCCGCTGTGTCTCCAGCATCCTTGTCCACATTGATCCTATAGGAGACCAGCTCATGCCATTGGACTCCTCGAAGCAGAAACCTAAGGCGAAATTGTCCTTCTTCGCGAAATTGTATATTGCCGGCAATAAGTCGGATCTTTCCCTCACGATCAGGCTTGACTGAGATGTTAATAAAATCGAGCACGTTCTCTTTGCCTTTGTGGATTTGGCATATCCGCATCTGGCACTTGCGTGCGACAGAACTCCCCACCTGACACTCTACTATTGGCAGTAGAGGTAAATACTGGCCAGGCTTTATAGTGCTCGGCAGGTCTCCAAGGAATTGGGCCGTAGGATGTTGACAGCAGAACCCAAGAGTGATATACTCCCCTCTCCCCAGAAAACGTGGTCATCGCTGGGGCAGCGCTGCGGCAGGCAATGGCAGGGTGAGTGTGAGGTGAGTAGATGAAATGGATGAACAGGTCCCAAGGGAGCAGCCGCGCGCGAGCAAGCGCGGGCTGGGCCAGGCACTAAGGGGCAGCCAATGGGTCACGTGATGGGGTGAGGGTGCGTGGCAGGAAGAGGGGATGGGCGTGGTGGGAACGGGCGGTTAGAGTGACGCGAAAAATGGCGTCGAATGTCGCCGTTTCCGGCAGCTGGCTAACCGTCTCATTGATTTAAGGAGTATATACTATATTAGAATAAGAAAAAAATAACAATAATCTTAAGAAATGATAATAAGAATGTTGGATTGCTATTTTGGCACTTTTTGTAACACTGGCACGTCGGCTGTGAAACAATGTGTTTGGAGCGGCCGATCCTCCGGGTAAACGTTGATCCATACTTGTAACACAATCACCGCCTCGAAACAACCCTCCGTCCCTCATCATCAATCACCACCAATTCCTGAGATGTAAAGAACCACTCAAACAGTCCCGCGCGCTTCGCCATGCCAACCCAGTGCAACACGGGCACAGATGGCAGCTCCTGCACAGCCTTGTTCTCCGGTTGACGGAACAGCTCCTCCAAATATGCCGCCGCCATATCGGCCCTCACGGTCGCCGTGCCGGGGTAGTTGATGACGCGCATAGCCTTTTCTTCAGATTCAGTTTCATTTTGACCTGCGATAACGGCAGAAGCAATAGCAGACGCCACGTCCTCGAGCGGCGCTATGTGGAACGTGCCGCCTAGATGGGCAAAGTCAGGCCGCACGCCAAGGCGCGGCGAGAGGAGGAGGAAGCTCCGGACCAGGGCGTCCTCGGTCTCCGTCAGTTTGTCCGTTGGGACATCATCTGCTGCAGCAGATGCAGCCTTCGTGGGCCGATGTGCCGTCACCTGTAGACCGGCTCGGCGTGCAGCAGCAGCTAGGTACCGCTCAACCACCCACTTGGACGAGACATAGCCGTGGGCCGGGTCTGGCCGTGGGAGATCCTTGTTGTCGCCGTCAGTCTCGTAGTTCGCGAGGGCACCGGAGCTGAGAACGTGCAGCGTGGCGCCAGTGCGGAGGGCCAGCTTCGCGAGTGCCTTGGCAGCGTTCACGTTGACAGGCTTGAGAGCGCCGTAGCTGTCCCAGAAGTTGCGGTCCGCGGCGCAATGTAGGATGACGTCGATATCAGATAGGTCGTTGTCTGTACGGAGGGATGGAAGAACGGTCTGTACGACGCGCACCTTGCTCTCCAGACCGGGGAACAAGTTGGTCAGATCCCGGCCCTCAGCTGGCCGTGCCAGAACCACGATCTGCGCCACGCATTCACTAGCTGCTAGATGAGGGATGATGCGCTTGCCCAGAGATCCAGTAGCGCCGGTGACGAGGACATGGAGACCGGTACTGCTGCTCGTTGGAGCTCTCATTTGTTGCGTGGGGACTTGGTCTGGAAAGTCCAGAGCGATTTCCGTATCCCAATCCGGCGCAGTCCCTTCGCTCTCGAGCAGCATCGCCATATTGCCGAGCTCGGGCGTGCTCATGAGCTTGTTCAGGCGTGGTGCGTCACCAAACGCGTGCTTGATGGCAGCCTGCAACTTGACCAGCAGTAGCGAGTTGCCGCCAGCCCGGAAGAAGTCGGTCAGAAGCGTCAGTGGTTGAGTTGTCAACGAGTGAGCCGGGAGGACATCGGCCCAGAGGTCAGCAAGGAGGCGCTCGGTGGGCGTGAAGCTCTTCTGTTGTTGCTCTTGTTGCTCGGCGAGGGATGTTTTGATCTCAGGGAGCGGGAATGCCTGCATAGCCTTCCGGTCAATCTTGCCATTGGCCGTCAGGGGCACCTCATCGATAGGCACGATGACGGCCGGGACCATGTATTGAGGGAGGGAGACAGACAGGCGAGCGCGAAGCTGTTCTACTATCTTGGCAGTCGGTGCCTCGGTCCGCTCTTTGTTGTTGTTGTCAATGACCACATGGGCAACGAGGAACTCCTCATCATGGTCGCCTTCGCCGGCACGCAGTGTCACGACGGCGTGGGCCAGCGCTCCAGCGGCCTCTCTGATGATGACGCCTTCAATCTCGGCCAGTTCGACGCGGAACCCACGGACCTTGACCTGGGCATCGCCGGCGACACGACCCTCAACGGTAAGCATGCCATGGGCGTTGAGTCGCCCATAGTCGCCGGTGCGGTACATGCGGCCGAAACCAGTGGCTTTCTTGTCATCGGGTGCGAATGGATCCACAGGGAACTGCTTCGCCGTCAGATCCGGCCGATTGAGATATTCATTGTTGCCGACACCGGCTCCGCCGATGACAATCTCGCCCGGCACACCGATCGGCGCAGGCCGGGAGTCATCGTCAACAATGTACACGGCGTAGTTGGGCAGGATTCGACCGGGAACGGGGACAGTCAGGTTCGGATCGCGGACATCGGCCAGGCCCTTCATGGTGGAGATAGTCGCCTCAGTGGGCCCGTACGTCGTGAAGAAGCGCAGGTTCGGCAGGGCCTGATTCAGGTTCCGGAACGAGTCCAGAAGGCTCTGGGGAGAACGTTCACCCCCAAACCAGGCACTGGTCCAGGCCGTGCAGCGGCGAAGACCATCGGGTGCGAATCGCAACCACATGCTGTACTCGGAAGGCGTCGCGACAGTAAACGTCACGTCGTGCTTGGCCATGAGTCGTGTCAACTCCGTAGGGTCGCCTCGGGCATCAGCAGGGGCAACCACAAGGCAGCCGCCGGTGGTGATGGCGGAGAGGATTTGTTTCAACGAGCCGTCAGAGGTGAAGGGGAACTGCTGGAGCACAACGCGGCCGAGGGTGGTGATATCCCACTCGCGGACAAAGCCCTCCGCCATGGCACGGAAGCTGGCATGCTTGACGACGATACCCTTGGGCTGGCCCGTTGAACCACTGGTAAAGATGATGTATGCCGGGCGGTCGTGCTGGGCAGCCGTTGCAATTCTCTCCTTGCTCCCTTCCACGGTGGCAGGGAGATCAGACACATTGATGACAGCGACGGCATCCTCAGGCCCAACTCCGATCTCTTCAGTGTGTCCCATGGTCTCACTGTCGGCCAGGATGGCAGCCGGCCGTGCGGCGTCCACGTAGCTCTTCAGGCGCGCGACGGAGACTTTGAGATCCAATGGAAGGTAGATGGCGCCAACACGAAAGATAGCAATCAGGGAGGCAATCCACTCAGCGGATGGCGTCTGGAACACGCCAACAACAGACTGTTCGCGGCTTTGATCAGGCAGCTTCGCACGGAGAGTGCGTGTAATACTCTCGACCCGCTCGTCCAGAGCCGCGTAGGTCCAAACACGACCAAAGTCGTCTTTCACGGCGAGATTGTCGGGGTGCTCGGCTATGACCTCGTCGATGCGGTGAGCGACGGTGGCGGGCCATTCGAGCAGCAGGTCAGTACCTATGATGGAAGCTTAGAGTCAGCTTGAGCAAGAAAGAAGAAAGAAAGAAGAGAAATACATACCCTTGCCGAGTTCCAACGCCTTCTTCACATCGGTCTCGTCCCACTTCTCCAGTTCATCCACTTTCACCTCGTCCCCGCGAGGCTTGACGACCTGTTTCAGGACATTGACGTAGCTCCTGAGGAACAGATCTGTCGCCTCCTTGCTGTACAGAGCCTCCTGCGCATGGACAACCACCAGCGCGCTTTCACGATCCTCAATGATCTCCAGCACGATATCATACGGGCCCTTGGCCGGAAGCGACCGCTGATCGCTCATCTGGCATCCGGCGCAGCTCATGTCCGACTGCTCTCTCGTGACGAGCTTGTAGTCCATGAGGATCTGGAACACGGGCGGATATGCGTTGGAGCGCGGCACAGCGAGCTCGTCCAACAGCAGGTCAAACGGCAGAGCCGAATGCTCGAGAGCACCGTATACCTTCTTTCGGACCTCCTCGACGGCCTGTCCGAACGTTTGGCCGGTCTGGCCGTCGGGATTACGGTTGAACAGCAAGGGAAGCACGTTGAGGAAGTTTCCAAGACTGCCCATGAACTTGCTGTCTAGCCGATTGGCGTCCGCGATACCGATGACCAGCTTATCCGTCGTCTCGGCCGGCAGCAGGCGGAACAAGAGAGCCTGCAGGGCCGCAAGGTAGCCGTGGAACGAGGTGGCTCGGTGGCTACGTGCGAGGTGCTTCAACTGTGCAGCCGTCTGGGGTTCAAGACGTATCCGGGCCACATTGAAATTGTAGGTCTCGAGCGGCAGGCGCACCTGTGAGCGAGCAGAGGGGAGCAGCTCGACGGGGCGAGTGAGATCGATAGACTGTAAGCTGCGACGGAAGTAATCAATGGCCGGCTGGAGCTTGCCAGCCTTGTACGCAAGGAGCTGTTGCTCGCCAAAGGCGCGGGCCTGAGAGGCATCAGGCAGCGGTGGTAGCGTTTGACCGGAGCTGCGGTACGCCCGGTCAACGTCGATCATCAGAAGGCTCACGCTGTGGCCGTCCATGGAGATGTGATGTGCCCCCATGAGCAGGTAATGCACCGTGTCGGAGAGGGAGAGCAGTTTCACGCGTAGCTGCACCCAGTCGCCGAGATCCCACTCATGGTTGCGCATCGCGACGAGCTCCTCTGCGGCCTCTGCCTCGGACGTGACGGTGGCTGTCTCTAGACGAACGAGAGTCTTGGACAGAATGCCTTGCATGGGCGTTTTGTTGTCATCGTTGGACCAGAAGAAGCGTGTGCGTAGAGCCTCGTGTCTCTGCGCCGCCGACTCGACAGCCTTGGAGAGGACGTCGATGCGGATGCGGCCCTCGAGCTTGACTTGGTAGGCCATGTTGAACGTCGTGCGGTCGGCGATGTAGTGGCTAAGGAACCAGAAGCGCCTCTGTCCGTATGTCATGGGCAAGGTGAGCTCGGTGGCCGAATCGACGATTGTCTTGCGCCTTGCTTCTTCGGGAAGTCTATCTAATGCCCAGATGGGCTGCTTTATGTCCCCAGTAATGTCGAGAGGCGTCTCCAGAGGCGTCTCCAGAGGCGTCTCAATGGGCGTGTACGGTGGAGACTGCGTCGTCGATGTATCTGTGCTCTCAGAACTGGTTACTATCTTTGTGGACGGTTTCGTAGTTGGGGAAGAAGGTGCAGCAGCAGCAACAACAACAACAGGAGGAGAAACAGTAGAAGGAGAAGCACGAGTAGCGGCTGGAGCAGCCTCTCCACCGTCCAGTTTCTCCAAGTCAAGGATCTCAGGAGGCATATTGTCCATCGCATCCTCAAGCAGCGAGTCCACCGTCGACCCGGCGCCCAGGATCTTGAGAACAGGGAGGTCGACATCAAATTCCTGCAGGAACCAGGTACGGACGTCGACCGCCATGATGGAATCCACGCCCTGTTCAACCAGCGTTACCTTCTCATTCACGATCTCGCCCTCGGGGATACTGAGGATGCGCCTCAACCGGTCGCTGAAGGCCTCTCGGACGATGGCCAGCGCCTCATCGCGGGACTTGACTGTCGCAAGACGTGCCCGTGGACGCTCCGTCTTGCCGCTACCGCTGCCGCCATGAACAACGGTATCGTGCACCAGGAGATGGCGGAAGCAGGGATTGTCGAGCAGCAGTCGTGCTGCGTTATGGGTGAACAGTGACACGCCAGTGCAGACCTCCGCGGTGCCCTTTCTGGCCAGGTCGACCAGCGAGCACGGCTTCAGCGAATAGCCCATGGAAGTCCCTCTCGGAGACATCACGGTAGCCCCTGCGCTCGAAGTAGTCCTTGTCCAGGTTGGCGTGTTCGAAGTAACCCAGGCCGAGGATGGAGCTGATTGCCATGCTAGAGCCAGCGACGCCGCGCACATCGCGCCTTTGGGCCGTCAGCGCCGTCATGAACTGGTTGGCCATGACGTAGACCGACTGGCCTGTGTTGCCGACGACATTAGCCAGCGACGTGAGGACGATGAAGAAGTCGAGCGGCGCATCGTAGAAGAACTCATCCAGGTTGATGGTGCCCTCGATCTTGGGCGGGACGGTCCGCTGCAGCGACGCGAAGCTGATATCATCGAACAGCGCGTCGTCGATCAGCATGGCGCCGTTAGCGACGCCGATGATGGGCGGCAGCTCAGCGCGTATTTCATTCAGGGCCGCGCGCAGCGACTCGCGGCGTGTCACGTCCATTGAAACCACTTTGATCGTTGCTCCCTCGGCTGCTCCCAGGTCGATGAACCGCTGGGAGACCTTGGGTCGACGACTGGCAAGGACGACGTTGCGTGCTCCATGAGCCACCATCCACGCGCACAGCGACTGACCCAGCTCGCCTGCCAGGCCGACGAGGAGGTAGGTACCGTCTGCACGGAAGATGTTACCGTGGTCGATGGGTCGCACAAGAGCTCGCACTGACGACGAAGTGGTCCAGTCGACAACGCTGAGCTTGGAGTGCATCACGGGGGAACCGGGGACGTCCTGGAGAGGCAACAGGGGGACCTGTTCGTGTTTTGGCGACGACGCCAGCCGTGCTCGGTTCGTCACTGCCCGGAAAGCTGTCCTGAGCGTCTGGCCGATCTGGTCCACATTGTCATCGGCACTGGGAGACAAGCCGGGCTGCATACGCAGGAGGTCCCCTGCCGTGACTCTGGCCGTATGCAGCGAGAGAGATCGAGCAATGAGGTCAGAACAGGCGGACTCGGGGAACAAGTCGACTAGGAGCGAGACATCGCGCGGCAAGAGTTTCCGCACCATGCGTACAGGGAGCTTCTCGTGGACGAAGACGTATGGTGACGCCGTCTTGTTCTTCTTCGCTGTCGTGAAGACAACTCGCACGCCTTCTACGGCCGCTTGTCTGTCCAGGGTGTCCTTAAGAGTCTCGTCGGCTTCATGCACTACCACAGTGCCAGAGCGCGGCGCGGTAGCGAGGATAGTCTGCGCGAGAAGATGCGCCGCAAGAGCGACAAGCAAGCTGTTGATGTTGTTGCTCTTGTCTTTGAGCTGCACCGTCCATTCAGAGGGCACGCGCAGCTGGGATTCGACAGCGGTATCGGCCAGTACGACGAGCTGTTGGCCTGTCTCAGCATCGATGCCCGCAGACAGGGTGAAGTATCCGCTTTCGCAGACTTTGATCGCCTGTAACAGTGATTGCTCGACTTGGAGAGTGACTGTCTTCATCTTCTCTGTCGGTCGACGGGCTGGCAGCACACGCAGCGGCGACACAGTCGCCAGCTCGAAGGTTCTTCCATCTGCCGCAGGCTCGAGAACAATCGTTCTTTTGGAAGGATCGAACTCATCATACACAGGGCGGCGATAGGTGTTATACCGCTTGTTCGCCCCCGTGTCCGGAAGCAATCGCGGTAGGAGGAGACGGCCGTTGACATAATAGTACTCAGGCTCAACCGTCCAGAGTATATTGGCGTCCTCCTTCTTGAACTGCGCGCCCAGCTCGAGACGCACCAGGGCGTCAGCTACCAGCTGCGGCGTGGGTTCCGTGGCGTTGTCGAAGTCGAGCAGCTGCACGTTCATAGCAGGATACTCATGGCGGACAACTCGGGTCACTCCAAGCATGATGGATGAGAAAGGGCGTTCGTCTCTCGCTGCGCGTGTCACCCAGAGAATATTGCTGCCGTTCTGCCAGAGCGTCTTGAGAGCGTCGATCTTGGACGCGGTGCGGATCTCGAAGAACTGCTCATCCAGCTCTGTCAGTGAGAGGACCGCGCTTCGCGGAGCCAGGCCACGCTGGTTGAGCTCCTCGAGAGACTCGAGCCTGGTGACGCCGGCATAACGCGGGCCAAGGAGAGCGCTGGCACCCTCCGCCAGTCGGGAAACAGTGGCTGTGCGCCCGCCAACGATGACGAGTTCATTTGTGCTCCGGTTCGGAGTAGGAACGGCGAGAGGAGCGCGCAGAGAGCTGATACGGTCATCGACGGCCTGGCTGACGAAGACAGAGAACCATGGAAACATGTTGTCGCCGAAGGGGGTATGCGAGTCGATGCCACCAAAGCCATGCCGACGTGCCAAAGCATCCCACTGATCCAGTGATAGAGACGGTCCATTGCTACTGGTCCACCATCCAGGAAGACCACCGAGAACAATGCCCAGACTCAGCGAGTCGTTGGTGTTGATATCCAGCACGACCAGGTAACCGCCAGGCCGTAGGAGCTTCCTCGCGTTGGCCAGTGCCTCGTCCATGTTGCGCGAGGAATGCAGGACATTTGACAGCAGTACAATATCATACGAGCCTTCCTCGAGTCCCTGTCCCGCCGGTGGCTGATCGATATCGTACATGGCGAACACCAGGCGATCGTCGGCAAAGTCACGGAAGCGGTCCTGAGCGCTCTCGAGGGACTCCGCAGAGATGTCCGTGTACGTGTACGTCGAGAAGGCGTCCCCTAGCGCCGGCAGGATTGACGTCGTCGAGCCAGCGCCTGTACCGGCTCCGATCTCGAGGATGTGCGTGTGTGGGAAGCGGTAGGTGATCTGGGCGACGACGCGGGCATACCAAGCATTGACACTCTCCTGTCCGGGCAGTGCGGTTAGCTCCTGGTAGAACCGGTTCAGCAGTTCGTCCTTGGATAGATGTTCCAGGATGCTTCCGCCGCTTCGGATGCTGTCCGCCAGGTGGTCGCCTGCGGCCTCCAGCAGCCGCATGTAGTCCCAGTGATGGTGCTTGGTGATGAGTGAGCGGATGAAGGATGGTGAGTCCTTTAACGCCTCGCACGGTACATGAGCATGCTTCCCTTGAGACACGGCTTCGACCGTCCGAGTAGCAAAGTCTAGCAGATTTTGATAGTTGGGCAGGGCTTCTGCCTTCTCCTGCTGCGTGATGGTCTCGCGCAGACGGCGCAGATAGAAGAAGCCCACGCGCTCAACCGCCAGGAGCGCCACGGTGTTCTCGGGCGATAGCTCACTGCCATCTGCGGCCATATGTGCATCGGGACTTGCCAGACGGTAGTGACAACGTGTGTACAGAACGGCATCGTCACGCGGCGTCGGTGCCGCGAAGGGCCGCACCTCAATCGACTCGAACTGCACGAAGGGATGCGTCTGGGCCGCACCGCCAGTGAAGATGTCGATATCGATCAGCATCTGGCCCTGGCCGGCCTCGCGAGAGGACGTCTGGTACTGCAGAATGCGGTCCCGGGTGACGCTCGTGCTGAAGAAGTACGGGTTGATGGCAATGGAGCGAATGGCCGTCGGCACGCAGAGCGCGAAGAGCCGGTTGTCGTGCGGGTGAGTATACGCCGCAAAGCCGGTCTGAATAGCTGAATCAAGCCAGCCTGGATGCACAAGAAGTTTGTCCTCCCAGCCATCGCCAGACTCGTCCTCGATCTCGCCAGTCGCCCAACCCATCTTGCGCTGAACGGTCCTCACGCCCGTGAACGGTGAGCTATAGTTGTAGCCCAGCTTCGTGAATTGCGAGTACAAGCGCTTCACGTCTACGTTGACCAGATTGATCTCGTCATGGCGAGTCGCAGGTAGCGTGTCCGGCTCCGAGTCGTGGAAGACGGCGGTGATGGTGGCGCTGAAGTTGAGAGCCAGCGGCGTGGCACTGTTATAGGGCAGGCCAGAATGGCAGGTAATGCGGGCAGAAAGCTCGTCGTCGGTGGAGCGAATGATGCTCAGCGTCACCTTGCTCTCCATTCCGGCGTTGTCATCGCTGAAGGCGAGAGCACGGCTGATGAGGACGTGATCGAGAGTGACTAGCCCCAGCTTTCGGTCAGCTGCAGCCGCGGAGATGGCTTCCACGGCCATGGAAACATAGCCCATGGCAGGGAAGACGCTCTGACCCTGCAATGCGTGGCCGTGGAGCCAACTGTTCTCCGATGGCCGCAGGATGTTACGCCAGGAGATCTCGTCGCTCGTCTCTGTCTCCACCAACCGTCGTCCCAGGAGCGGATGCGGCGGTGCGTGGACATGTCGATGGCCCCCGGAGAAGCGAGTGAGCGAGCGGAAAGAACGGGAATGGTCAAAGGGATATGTAGGGAGATCTGGCACGGCCTGTCGTGGCGCAGCGCCAGAAATCAGCTTCTCGAAGCTGTCAAAGTTAACAGACGAGGCGCCGAGTTCCGTCCAGAGGAAGCCAAGCGCTGAGGCTAGTTCTTCCACGTCGTTCTTGTTACGGGCCAGCAAGCCTGTATAAGGGATCTGGTTCCCGGTTGCCTGTTCTATTGTCTGGAGGGCTGGACCCTTGAGCGCCGGATGGGGACCGAGTTCGATGGCAATGTCGAAGGGTCCAGCCTTGGTTGCAGCCTGTGATACAGCCGGCTCGAACAGGACAGTGCTTGTTGTGTTGTCGATCCAGTACTGGGGATTCTGGATGTCGTCCTTAGTCATGATATGACCGCCCTCACCGACGCTGGAGAACCATGTGGTACCGTTGCCCTCGTTCACAGTATAGCTAGCCCTCGCCAAACCGGCGAGGTAGGGCTCTGCGCATGCCAGCATGTGGTTCGAGTGGTACGCGGTGTCCACGCGTAGTCGGCGCGCAAACTTGCCCTGTTTCTGGAAGATGGTGATGGCCTCTTCAATAGCATCCTCGTCACCCGAGAGAGTGATACTGGCCGGGGAGTTGCGCGCTGCCACCTGTATTCGTCCGGCGAACTGTTCGAGCTCGCAGAACCTCCGACCATCCTCGAACGAAGTGCCGACAGCCATCATGGCGCCAGGGACTCCAGAGCGAGACACCTTGGCATAGAGACCGCGGTAGTAGGCAACGCGGATGGCAGTGGTGGCCGACAGGAAACCGGCAGCATACGCAGCGCCAATCTCGCCGGAGGAATGACCAACGACGGCACGTAGCTGGATGTTCGACGCCCTGAGGAGGTCCACGAGCACGATTTGGACCGCCGTGCATAGCGGCTGAGATATGGCTGCCTCGGATATCCGGGAGTCCTTGGGATCGGCAAGGAGTTGCGAGAAGATCGTCCAGTCAGGCCGGTCGCCCTCTGGAAGCGTAGCCAAGGCTCGCTGGAGCTCTGCAATGCGCTGGGCAGCAAATGGGGACTCCTCAATCAATCGTGCGCCCATTCGTGGCCACTGGGCACCCTGACCGGTGAAGACACCGAGAATACGGGGCTTGGACACGTCGTAATAACGGGTAGTCAGTCCGTTGTCATTGGCGTTGTTGTTATCATCAGCAAGCAGGCTGTCGATCCGTTTGATGGCCTCCTCGACGTTGGAGGCAAAGATGGGCTTGCGGTAAGGGAGCGTTGACCGGCGTGTCTGCAGCGTGTAAGCCAGATCGCGGATATTAGTCTCCGGGTGCGCCTTCAGGTAGGTCCTCAGGACATCGAACATGGCGCGGAGACTAGACGAAGAGCCGGCGGAGATGGTAAGTGGAGTGAAGACTGGCAAGGCAGCAGCGGTCTTTTTTGATGATTCCGGTTCAAAATGCTCGAGAATGGCGTGTGCATTGGTGCCGCCGAATCCTGCATCTGTTAGCCCCTCTTAGTCCTCTCTTTCCGTTCGATTCGCTTTACCAAAGCTGTTGACACTAACTCGGCGCGGTTGGCCTGGAAGTGTCTTCGGCCAAGGGGTAGCCTCGGTGGGAATCTTGAGATGAGCATAAAATGGGGCGACGCGGGGACTGAGATTCTTGAAATGAAGATTGGGGGAATTGTGCCATGCTGCATGGCCAAAGCAGAGCCGATCAAGCTGGCAAGACCAGCAGCACCCTCGGTGTGTCTGCGCAAAGGTAAGTCAATACGTGGTTAGAGAAGAGAGAATGACAACAACGTTGGCAGGACATACCCGACAACAGTTTTGATAGAGCCCACATAGAGTGTATCCGTCGCCTTCTCATCCCCACCAAAGAAGGTCCGCGAGATGGCTTCCGCTTCCTGCGGGTCACCGGCGGGTGTGCCAGTTCCGTGAGCATGGAAGAACTGCGGACGGTCTTTTGGATTGTTGATGTCGAGTCCGGCACGGGCATACGTCTGACGGATGAGGTCTGCCTGGGCGATATTGCTGGGCATCGTCAACCCGGCAGTCTTACCGTCTTGGTTTACTGTGATTGCTCAGCATTTGTTAAACTAAACATCAAGAGGAAAACACTTACCAGCCGTTTCGCGGATTATGCAGTCGATGTGATCACCATCCCTCAGCGCAGCACTGAGTGGCTTCAGTACGACGGCGGCAATGCCCTCACCGCGAGCGTAGCCGTCAGCGGCAGCATCCCACATCTTGCTGCTGCACGTTGGTGAGAGCATGTGGAGGTTGCTCTCAGCTATGAACATTCCTGTGGAAGCCAGTCAGCATCAGTTTCCTCTCTTTCAACGTAAATATTTTCTCAAGAAGTCAAAAACCGGAAACCCACCAGGGGCCAGAATCAAGTTAGCACCAGCCACGACCGCGATCGGACACTCGCCATTCCGCAGGGCAGTCACGCCCTGGTGAACGGCTACGAGCGAGGACGAGCAGGCCGTGTCGATGGTCATGCTTGGACCGTGCCAGTCGAAGAAATAGGAGATGCGGTTGGAGATGATAGCACGACTCTCGCCCGTGGCGGCGTATGTCGGCATCAGATCCCAGTCACGATTAAGGATCTGATGCCAGTCATCGCACATCATGCCGACGTACACGGCCGTCCTTGACCCCCGGAGACTCTCGATGGTTTGGCCTCCAGCGCACCTACCAGCAAGTCAGCAAATCACCACAGACAAGAAGATAACCAGGACAGAAAAAGGTACAGCGAGTCGTAGACAGTCTCCATGACCAAGCGCTGCTGCGGGTCGATGGCCTCAGCCTCGGCCGGCTGAATATTGAAAAACGTATTATCAAACCGGGTCACGTCTTCCTCGATGAAGTATGCGCCGAAGGCGTCGGTGACTCCATGCTGGGCTCCATTGGAGTGATAGAAGCCGGTTATGTCGAAACGGTCGGCTGGGATGCGCTTCGAGAGGTCGCGCGGTGACCGCAGCAAGTCCCAGAGCTTCGAGGGTGAATCTGAGCCTCCTGGGAAACGGCATGCCATGCCGATGACGGCGATGGGTTCGTGTGACACTGCCATCGTAGTGTTCGTCTATGATATCTCGGATTATGTGTCGTCTACGGTGGCATGGCATGGGAGGGAGCAGAGGTAAGTGAAGAATTAATATTAGGATAGAAACAGGCGAGTAATCGTAAAGTACAAAGTATGTAGTCGCTGGGTAGAAGAGCAGAAGTTTCGCACCAAACGCTTAAGCAACTTAAGCAATCCGTCGGGAAATTGTTGCATGACCATGAGAACTCCAGATCGCGATCTAGACAAGCCCCAGATCCGGGAGCTCTGCATCAACACTGCCTTTTTCCGGTAATGAAAGCTATCCCAGCCGAAGAAGGCCGAGTTTTTGCGATAGGCTGTGCTTGGCTTTATAAGTCTGTAGTTATATTATTAGGTTTAGGAGGTTTATTAAACTCTCCTAAGCTGATCCAGGCTGAAATGCAGATAGATAAAAAATATCCACATGCAGCTGTTAGGGCCAGCCCTGACAACATGCCTCGATGTCTGTTCTGGCACGTCCAACACACTTTTTGTCTCAATACCATCCAGATGACAGGTTAAACTGTAGTTGCAATATAATCAAATTATCAGCCTCTTCTGGGGACCGTAAACTGATCATTTGGGCTTCTATCGAGGTAATATCGAGAAATACTACCTCGCGAAGGAGTCAGCCTCCCGATTAGATTAGATGTAATATGAATATCCAAAACACATATCGAACCATCCTAATGTATCTACGAGCCATCCGACTGGCCAGGATCTGAATAATTGCTTCTTTAGTAACTCTTCATAGATAGCCCTGCAGCTGTGGGCCGAAATCCACCGAAATTCTCCGGTTAAACCAGCCCTAATGCAACTCATCAGTAACTGTGGCTGCACCTGAACATTGCCAAATGATCCACCAGGCCAGCAGACGGTTCGGTTCCATGCCGACACGTGGAAGCTTGATGTCAATTTCGGATATCAGGAATGGACTCATCCACATGCTACTTCAAGTAGTGGTTTCAGTCATGATAAAATGATGAACACATCCCATGTGGAAAAATCCATCTCATTCTTCTTCATCCTTCAGATAGATTTAGTGACATTTGTTTATCTTAATATCTTAGGGTTATTTCATCCACCACTGGTCATAATGCTCCTCCGCGAAAACGTCCTATACACCAAAGCCCGCGCCGGACAACTATGCAAAGTAGGTTGGGGACCTTCGCAACATCGCACACTCTATCTCAGCTATTCTCTGACCTGGAGAATGAGAAAATAGAAATAGAGAGAGAGCTAAATTAGCCACAGGCCCTGGTAATAAGGCTAGTAACCAATCCTCTCGTCGTACATCTCGCCAAGAATGCCGGCTTCGACGTCCTATGGGTTGAGATGGAGCACTCGACCTTTTCCATCACCGAGGCGAGCCAGCTCGCGAGCGCAGGCACTCTGGCCGGTCTGACGCCTATTGTTCGCGTGCCGTACGAATGCGGCATGGGGTACGTGCAGCAGGTTCTCGACTCGGGAGCCATGGCCGTCGTCTTTCCGCACATTGTCACCGTGGAAGACGCGAAGAGGTCCGTCAAGATGTGCAAGTTCCCGCCGCTGGGGAAGCGGTCGCTATGGCTGCAGCAGGCTGCCGTGGGGCTGAAGACGTTGCCGATGCAGAAGATGGCCGAGGAGATCAACGCCCAGGCGTCCGCGGTGGGGATGATGATTGAAGCGGCTGATAGTATTCCGAACGTCGACGCGATTGCTGCCGTTGACGGCGTCGATATGCTGATCGTCGGCTGCATCGACCTGTCCACCGACATGGGCATACCGGGCCGGGTCGATGTACCGGAGTTCCGGGCGGCGCTGGAAGCCGTCAGCGCGGCATGCAAACGTCACAATAAGATCTTTGGCCTGGCTGGTAACTACAATGACCTGAAGTTCCAGGATTGGGCTATTAACACGTTGGGGGCGCGCTTGGTTTTGTGCCATGTGGACTCGAACCTCATTTCCATCGGGGCGATCGAGTGCGTGAAGAGGATATCCAGTATTGATGGGACTGTTCGACCGAATGGAACCTCCTCTAATGGAACTGTGCCTAATGGAAAGGCTCTGTCAAGCGGGGCTGTGTCTGATGGAAACGGTGTGCAGAACGGGCACATCGAAGTCAAGGAGGAGAAATAAGAACGAAGATTGTTGTACATAATTGTCTGTTACATGGTAGGACATACAGAGTTTTCTATTGCATGCTGAATTTCGTAGTCGTGTAGGATAGAAAACACAGTACTTACATTGTAGAAATCCATTCCAACACAATACTGGCCTTAGGCTATTATTGAGGACTCGATTGTATTGCACATCAGCTTATTTCCCAGATCGGTTGCTTCATATCATCTCTGGAACAGAATGTACATCTTGATATACATTCACTCCTTCCAAACTATATGAATCTTTACATGCACGAGAACCAGAGTTAGGGTTAACAGAACCAGACAAATATATTCTTCATGTATAAACTATGCGACAACAAACTCAAGCACACTGAAGTCATCAAACGCAGACGCAACATTCTTGAACTCTCCATTGAGACGGAACCCAGCGCGCTCCGCTAATTCACTGAACATTGCGGCATTCCGCCTCTTACCCGCAGCCAGCATCAGAGCGATATCCAAGCAGACATTCATGGGAATCCGCTTGGGACTCAGCATCTCCTCGATCACCAAGATGCGCGTGTCAGGCGCCGCCGTCTTCCGCACATTCTGGAAGGCCCGCACGACATCCTCATCGGGGAAGTCGTTGAGTACACGGCGGAACAGGTAGATGAGCGCTCCCTGAACGGCCTCCGGATAGGGCTCGAACATGCTTCCGCCGACTTTCTGCACCTTCTGCAGAACCTCATCCGGGCTCTTTTCGAGATTCTTGTTCGTGTTTTCGATCACCTCCGGGAGATCAAAGAGAACGCATCTCTCTGCCGGGATAAACGGGTTGTTGCGCACTGCATCGCGCAGAGCGAGACCGTGACTCCCGCCGACGTCCACAATGGCCGCCCGCGATCCGGATCCGGTAGCGAGAAGACCTTCCTGTAACCATCCGAAATCATAAACCCCCTTCAGGGAGTACATGCCCCCAAGTTCCCGCAGGGCTTTGTTGAATCCTTTGTGCACCGCTTTATCGGCAACAATAATATCGTAAGCGGGCTTGTCGTCGTAACCATGTGCTAAACCGAGAGGGGTCAAACGGACGTTCTGCGGCGAAGCAAGACCATACTTGGCGAAGAAGCCCGGCAGCTGAGCAAGGGGGCGGAAGACATTGTTGAACATATGCACACACAGCCAGGAGAGCGGTTGATCGGACTTGTAGATGCGAGACTTTTCCGTGTGAGCGATGCGGCCCGGGGCAGTCGATTCAAGAACCTTGCCCGCGATGAAGAAGGTCACCATACGGTCCACGACCTCGAACGAACCGCCGATTTTCTCGGCTAACTCGGTGACGGCAATGTCGCCTTCGTCAGGGATTGTATCCCAGGCATTGTAGTCGACGAAGATCTTGATGAGGGTGAACTCGACGGCGGAGAAGGGGTGTGCGCCGAGATGGTGGTATGCCTCCTTGAGACGGGCACGTCCTGAGTCTGCCTGGGTTGCCATTTTTTCGATTTCTCCATTTCCCGTTACTCTTCTGGAGGAGATAGCTTTGTGGAGACAGCACTAATAATTCTGTAGTCATTGAGCGTTTAATAGCTCCAAACCCTCTTCAACAAGACAGTTTCGGAGCTTTTCGGTGCCGAAGCGTATGCATCTCGATGCAACACAACGCTCCGGTGATTCCATAGAAAGCTTATTTCACGGACCAGGAGTGCTTCCAAGGTTGGCACTGATTGTTTCACTTGCTGGGATTATTTCTGCCGAGTGTGGTTCTCCAATATGGGTCCTACCCTCCGAGCCGTGAGGATGTCTCTCCCGAATGGATCTCCAGAATGAAGAATGGCCATGGTCACAATCATAATTGATTGATGCTTCTCGCCGAAATAGTCCGGTCTCCCTGGTTCCCCCTTACTGTAATATACTGGTTGTAATGATGCTCAGTACCAAGCTCCATAGTTTCCGGTGCAGTCGAGTGTAGCAAGTCAAAAACCATGTCGTTGTTCGACCGGATCCCAGAGGTAGTGCCAGATGGCGCTTTTGCCATGATTGAAGCATGCAGGGCCGATCCCAGCGAGAAGAAAGTAAACCTGAGTCCTGGTATATATCGTGACGAAAATGCGAAGACATGGGTTCTGCCATCTGTGAAGAAGGTATTAATTAATCAACTGCTCTTTCCTACATCCATTTATGTAGGCGTCCGTTGGACTAACACGGAGCTGATCTCAGGCCAGAGAAATCCTCAACGCAGACCAAACCCTCAACCATGACATTTCCCCTCAGATGGGCCATCCCGATCTCGTCTCGGTGGCGCGACAGATCACATTCAAAGACACATTGGAGAGCCGGGTGATCGCCTCCATGCAGACCATCTCCGGCACTGGTGCTCTTCACTTTATTGCCCGTCTCCTGTCTGATGTCGTCCAACCGAAGACCATATGGTTCTCAAACCCGACATGGGAGAATCACCCGAAGATCTGGAGCCATGTCAACGCCGGGATCGAGCAGCGTTTCTATCCCTACTATGACGATAAAACATCCACGCTAGACATTGAGGGTATGATCTCAACACTGAAAGAACAAGCGTCAAGAGGAGATGTCATACTCCTCCAGGCGTGTGCGCATAATCCGACGGGTCTGGATCCTTCAAGGGAACAGTGGGAGGCTATTGCAGCAGTCTGTGGGGAGAAGGGATTATTTCCTATCTTTGATTCCGCCTAGTTTGTCTCTCTCTCTCTCTCTCTCTACTA